AGTTGTCATATAACTAACAACAACGAATAAAATACTAAACAACAATAAATAAAGTCGCATAATAAATTACATTAAAAAAAAAATTATACTTTTGTAATAGGCAATAACACTTTAATTAAATTATTATGTGTTTTTTTCGTCTAAAATTATTAAATAGTAAAATAAATCAAATAATTATATATATATAAACTTAGAGTCTATAGGAAAATATCTTTTCTTGAGATTTATGTATGAAAAAAATCGTGCATCGCACGGGCTTTTATCTAGTAAGTATCAATAATAAGGTTAGGAATTACAACCTTTGATGCGTGAATTCCTCGTTTACTTTGTACCGCGGAGATCTTGAGCCCCAAGTCTTGCTCCTCTAATCAGTCCACAAGTACGAATTGGATCCCCACGTATGCTAGTATGGAAGAGGAATGAATGTAACACTCTTCTTACTTTTGATGGGAGGAGGCAGAAAATAACAGTGTATTTAATTAGGGTTGTCTAACTTACTTTTATAGGTCAATCACATATAAAAGTAAAACCCTAATCACAAATAATCTGCCATCAAGGCCCACTATTGAGCCTTAATAGATTTTGATCCAAACCAATACTTTATTGTGTGACATCCTAGGATTCAGTCAAATTAGCAATGAGCTTCATAATAAACCCACAGATCATACTTGGTTTCTAGCAAAACGCTATGACCACCTAAAATGACTAAATTATTTATCTCCATAATTAATCCTAATTTATATATTTAGTAATTGCACAAACGACTAAGGACACAACTCCTTCAATAACTTGATAGAATACCATATAGAGATGATCTAAGTTGTAAGAAAACGAATTTTTTATTTTTCTTATAATGGGTATCTGGGTACCCGAGATTAGCAAAGCCTGTCCCATGTCCCGGCCCACGAAACTGCTATTTTAGCGGGACGGGTATCCGACCCGAGAAAAACAGAAAAAATTGTCAATTTCCCATCGGGTTTTTTGCGGGTCATCGGGTAATCGAGACGAGACAACCGGGTTGGGTTTTTTAACACCCCTAGTTGCAGGGCTATTGACTATGAGTTTTTCCTTTCTCTTTTTCTTCATTGGGGAAATTAGAGAAGGATGTTGTTGCGTTGCTGAAGAGAGTTCAGGCGTTTGCAAAGACTCAGGATATTGGTGCTCGTGCATCTGCTCACATCTTCAATAAGATCGGATTCGCTATATCTAGAGGGGTGGGGCCCATGTTGTATTTCGACCCCCCTAATTTCTTGTAAATTGAATGATTTTGTAGGCTTTTATAATAATAATAATAATAATATTTAATGATATTTATGCGATAATAATAATAATACTATTAATAATATTAATAATGCTAATAATAATAATAATAAAACTAATAATAATAATAATAATGCAATAATAATAATATACTAATAATAATATTAATAATAATAATAATAATGATAATAATAATAATATTAAAACTAATAATAATAGTATTATAATAATAACAACAATAAAATCTATTTTGCTCTGTTCATAAACTCAAAAGAATAGGGCCTTCACTTGTACATACACCGTTACTCCGTATTTTCTTTACTCCGATTTCATAACGAGAAGCACAGAACTAAGAGGGAAGAGGGAAGAGGGAAGTGGGAAGTCAAGACTTGAAGAGTAGCAGCAAAGTGGCAATGACGATGGCCTCACCGACGGCGTACCTCGCAATCGCATTCTTCCTCTCTCTCTCCTCACTTCTCTTCTCCACTTCCAATGCTGTCATTGTTGATTTCACTGAGACCAACCATCCTCAATTTCAAAGTCACCAAATTTGCTCAAATTCTGACACTAATTTGGAATGCGAAATCCAGGATATGAAGCTTAAAATTGCTCGATTAGGTATCTCTTCTTGAATTCTTCCTTGTTTAATAATTATTTCGACGTGTTTTTGATTGAGATTAATCTGAAAATTTTCCGTAAATTAGATTTGATTTGTGAGTAATTAAGTTCGATGATTGATAGAGCATAATAGCATATTATTAAAAGTATTTGCATTATTAATTGCATTGATTTTGTAAATTGGCACAGTAAATCGCATTGTAATATACAAGTACTTCGTAGATTGGCTTATAATTGAAAATTGATTCTAAATAGTGATATTTGAAGTTGCATCCATAATGTAGAATGATTTAATTTCTTGCACTAGAAGAAATTTGTGAAACGACTAAGATTTTGAGTAGAAAGGAGGATAAGAATAGCTAAATTTTCTTGTAAATTGAAATTTATGCTAATTTCTGATTAGTTTGCTTGAATAACAGCTGACATTTGTCTGCAATTTTGTCGATTTCAAAGCTGATTTGAATCCAACTGAGCAGTGCTAATATAAGTACTCCGTAATAATAAAATTAATTACTCTTACACTGTATGATGATTCAAGATTCTCTGTGTTTCTTTTTTCCTGTTACTTTAGAAACAATTGCTAATATTTTGCTTGACTGATAAAATAGATAAACCTGCTGAGTGTCTTGGTTCGAGGCTGTAACCAAAAACAGTGTGAAACGGATTAAAGGCCGCAATCTTTTGGCAAATTGCCTTGATAAGGCTTATCTTTTCCTCAGCTTAAAGTTTGAATAGATTAAATCTGTTGTGCCTTTTTGTGTGCTGACTAATTATGTTTTTCTTTTGTTTGTGGTCACTTTGTTCCATTAAACTTGGAATTTTCGTTCTGATTTGCTTGACAATTTGGTTATTATTCCTTGCAGTCGTTTTAATTCCTTTAGATATTTGTCCTGAATGATATCTACTCATCTATGTTGTGGATCAATATTGCTACAGAACATTTAAGTGAGATGACTGGCCAAGAACTTGACAGTAAAAGCCTTCTTATTGGAAATTGTGAGATGAAAATTGAAGAGCTTAGTCGTACTATACAACACCTGGAGTCTGATTTGTCCAACTTAAAGGTCAGCAGCTTCGTACCTTTTTCCATGATCTGAAAGTTGTCAGTTGTCATTCCCTTCATTCCAAAATATATGTTGTGTTAGATTGTTAGCCAATTAGCCAACGTCTTTTGATCCAAAATGTTTGTTACTCTACAATATTAACGCATAGTTTCATGTGATTTTTTTTTCTCAACATCAATAGAAGATTGTAGGTCATTTCATGATATCGATGTAATATTAGACACCACTTTATCATGCTAATGCATTTTTAACTAGATTGAACTGTATTCCTTACAAGTGTATGAGATTAGAGGAGTATATCATTTTACACATCTGCATTGTTGAATTTGCTTGACTATACAAATATACCCATGTTGTCTTTGCGAAGTTAGGAGGAAAGGGGAAAAGAGGTGAGAAAGCCATGATATGCCAATACAAATGCTTATAATGTGATAACACTTGTATAAGTTTGTATGATTTTGTAATATGCTACATCATGATTTATGACCTTACCCATGCCTAACCAAATTAAAGTGCCTGAAGTGATAATTGTTCTAGAGACTTTCAACTATGTTGATGAGCTCATCAACATTGCAAAGAGCTTCTTGATATTTTGATGATTGGATGGCATCTAATAATCAAGTTCAGGTGCATTTAAAATTAGAACTATCAGGGGATTGAAAATTAAGCTTATTTTCATAACTGTTCTAGCTACAGCTTCAACAAATTAAAATGGAAGTATCAATATGCAGCTTAGCAGTAACTTGTTGGATTAGTACTTGCACTTGTAACTTGTTTCCTCTGCCTTGGCTCGGTCATTTGCATTGATTAGCTAGCCATATCTTCTAGAATGCTCTTTTTTTACAGAGCTTTTCGGCTATAGTCTTAGCTTTCTATGTTTTAAGTGCTTGTTGATTCTCATGGTTGACACCTTAGCTGTGAAAGAAATACTTCCAGGAAATGGATTGCTTCCATCTGTGTTAAACCTTAGCTATGGATGGCAAAAAAGTGACTTTTGTATGGAAGATGCTGTCCTACATTTTTGGAGTGACTGGTGTCATTCTTCTACTTCTAGAGTTCTCCTTCTAGAGAGAATGAATACATTTGATATTTTTTTCCTTCAAGTTAATTCATATAAATCAAATCTCATCATTGTGTACGTAATTGTGTGCATATTTTGAAAGGTAATATTGACATTATCGCTTTAGGATTGAGCATTATATTTTAGTATATCGCAAGTAGATTTGGAAAATTCAAATAATTTAAATGAGTAAACCTACGTACATCTCCAAGAAGACGACAAGGAAAACAAAAATCCTATTGTGTTTTTTTTTCATTTACACTGTCTTTAATGCAATCAAATTATCTAATACCATCTCAACCAGCCTTCTTTATTTCAGCAGTGGATTGTCAATTTAGCTATGTCAACTATGGACTAGAGAATGTATATTAGTTATGTTAATAAAATCTGCAGTACATAAATGAGTATATTTTTATGCACATCCCAGTGTGTTTTCTTGGTTGTTTTCTGCACATGTCATCCAAAGACCAAAACAAGAACAACAAAAATGTTCCAACAAAAATCAAGATCCTGTTGCTCTGTAGATAAAGTGATTTTCTCTTGTAACAAATTGATGTATTTTTACCACTAGTTCATTATGTAAGTGTTTTTGGATGTGGGTTATCTGCTAATGAGGCTGGGCAGTGGTTCAAGGGTCTCAGTTATCTTGTATGATTGATAGAGGCGGCAAAATCTTCATGCGAGTAGAGGTGTCAATTCGGGTCTTCGAATCGGGTCTGATGATGTCGGGTCGAGTCAGGTCAATTTTTAAAGTTTAGTTATGTTAAATTATTATGTTCACACGAGTCGAAATCTAAATCGGATATTTTCGGGTCGGTTTCGGATCGGGTTGGGTGTGCTTTTGACACCTCTATATGCAAGCCAGGATTTTTGTACCCTCCACAATTTGAGTGTGAAAGCTGTTTGGATGTAATAGACTATAGAGCCCTGATAGCGAGAGAAAGGCAAATTGCTGAGAGCATGAAACCTACTAGAGAATGTATTTTAGTCATGATAATAAACTCTACAGTACATAAAGTGGGTTCATTAACTTCATTTTTATGCGGAAAATTTAACATAAACAAACTAACCTTTGTGTGGTTCTCCCATAATGGTGCAACCTTTAAATCTTCCCAAATTAAACACAAGTTTGTATTTTTTTTCTCTTAGTAAACCAAAATGACCTGTGACCCGAACACTGGTCACTTTTTAATTTTCATTTAATTATCTTTCTAAAATTAACAAAATAAAATAAAATAAATAAATAAAAATCAGACCCCCCACCCGCTGCTATCCCCTCCTCTCCCAGTCCCCCCACCATGAAACCACCACAACTTCTCCCATATATCTCCTCTTTCTCCTCCTCCTTCTTCCCTCTCAATGTCTTTCCTCTCCGCCACCTCCGTCCACCGTATGCATCAATGGAAGCGGAATCTTCGGTGGCGCATTATTCCATCTCCTCCGCAAATTCTCACCGGAACCTTCCCCCATTGTCGCCATTCATGTCTTTCGTCAGAGGTCGTTTCTAATGAGGTGCTGACCAGACTAATGAGGTTGAAGATTGAGGTCCAATTGAATAGGCTTACAAGATTTCGATCGCCATTTTTGTTCTACAACTCTATCGCAATTTCTGACCTTGAGTTCAATTGAGTTTAAAACTCCGTCTTGGGGGTCGTTTCCGGTTGTGTGAAAGGGGGGAGGGGTGGTGTCGAGGGTGGAGGGGTGGTGTCGAGGGTAGCGGGAATGGGGAAAGGGGAGGGCGCCGAGGGAATGGGTTGGGCGCCGGCCGCCGGCCGCCGGCAGGGGAGGGGGTGAGTGGGGTTGGCAGTGGTGTGGGGTAAGGGAGGGTGTTTTAATTTAGTATTTTTTAAACACAAAATTACTAGATTTTTTTTTAAAAAAATTAACCAATAAGGACATGACACGTGGAGTGCAACCTGGTATAATGGGTCAAGTGACAAGCTTGGTTTGCTACGGGAGAAAAAATACAAACTTGTGTTTATTTTGCGAAGATTTAAAGGTTGGTCCATTATGGGAGAACCGTATTATGTTAAATTTTCCTTTTTATGCATATCCAAATGTGTATTCTTGGTTTTTTTCTGCACATGTCATCCTTCATTGTTTAGTTGATATAAATGATCGTTTATGAGTGTTTGACTACCTTTTTGGCATAACACTTTGCCGAATAATTTTGACCTATGGAAGCCTTTATTTGTTTGATCTTGTCTTATGTGATTCAATGTTTACTAATTCGTACTGTATTAAATGATTAAATAAGCTGGAAGCATTGGTGTTCGAATGGGTATAAAGTTTATCATCTTTACTCATCTTGTACAATAATTTGTAGGATGCACCAGACTATGAGGAAATGATAAAGTTGCTTGAAGAACAGGTATGCTTAAGTTTATTGGTTTAGTGCCTTTTAAATTGGTTTTTCCTTTTAACGATTTATTGAAACCATTGAAAGGGAATAAATACCACTACATTTATTCACTTGGGCATCCTTAGGTACGAGAATTGGAGGCTGTCGTGAGAAGAAATGACTTGAACATCAGTCAATTGAAAGTCAGGGTTAAGGTTGACAAGAGATCAGTGGAATCGCTTGCTTCAAAAGTTGAATTGGTAAGGTATAAGCTAGAACAGAGTAATTTCATCAATGCATGCAACTGAAATGTTCTCTGAGACTGTATAGTCACTTTTTGACAAGTAAAAATTCCGTCTGTCACATTGACATGAAAAGTTCATCCCGAGTAAGTCATATGCAGCCTTTATAGAATGAAAGCAAAGTTAAGAAGAAAATTTAATGAACAATACTGCTCAAACTAGCAAGCAATTCTTTTTGTTTTTCAAATAATACAAAATGCTTAAAACACTAGTATTTTATGCCTGCAAATTGTCATACATTCCATGTGTGCCAACAGGATCTGATTTAATTTTAATTGTTTTTCTAGCATGCTTTCCATGAAAGATATTATACAGTTTGTTTGTGACCTCTTAGGTTCTTATTGATGGTATATTCCAAAATACTTGTCAGTATCCTAAAGTTACAATGCCACTTAGATGTCCTCCTTTTGTAAATCATGTAAGTATATATACTAGGTATTACTCCTTTCTTATAAGAGACATTCAAGCTGTTATATGTTTTTGTTGTGTATCCTAAAGTTACAATGCCACTTAGATGTCCTCCTTTTGTAAATCATGTATGGAGTATATATACTAGGTATTACTCCTTTCTTATAAGAGACATTCAAGCTGTTATATGCCTTTGTTGTTACTGATTAACCATTGAAATTGTTACGCTATTATCGTGCATTTCCTGGGTGCCAACAGGTTTTTTTGTTTCTTTTTTTAGTAAACAGTATGCCGTATTAGCTATGTCATTCCTAGCCTCATCTAATGAGCTATTGTTTCACAGATGGCAAAAATCGTCCCAGAACTTTGGTTTCATGTTCAAAAGCTTGAGCAGGCTCGCGAAGTCATAGAAGTATCTCTCACCTAGCTGCTGAAATGCTTTCTGTTCACTATATCTTTTATGCTGCCTACTGAGTTTAGAACTTTTTGGCAGAGAAGAACAGGGGAGCTACGACAGCACTTACGCAATGAAAGATGTTTATTCTTTAAGGTTGTAGCTATGCACGTGTTTGAACTTTTTGTTTGATTCTTTCTCCTCCTCCCCCCCACCCCCTCCTTTTCTGTGAAAGTTTTATATGTTAAATGTGTATTGCTTAGTGATTTATATGGCACCTTCCCTTTGACTACTTCTGTATGTTTTACATTTCCTTAGTTAACCTTTCTGCGTCTCTTGTAGTTTATTAACAAATTACCTGGTAGAAGATATCATGACATGCTAGTTGCCTACTCTTCGGAAGCTATAAACCTACTAAGAAGATCATATACAGCTATCAAAAAGTATCACCATCAGGTTTGTCATCTCTGAATTGAGTCCCCTTCTCTTTACCATTCACTCTGTGCCCCCCCCCCCTCCCTCTTTTTTTCCCCCTTTTTCTTTTGGGGGTGGGGGTTGGGAAGTGTGGGGAGGAGATCTTTCGGAATTGCTTGTTGATGCTTTGGCTTGAGTGTTTTTTTGTTAAAATATGCCTTGATTTTTGCTCATATAAATAAATTTAATCATCAATAAATTTGATCAATAAAAAATTACTTAGTTCAATCAAACAAAATTCATATGAGAATAGCAGATCTTACATGGGAACTAGTTACATCATGGGATCTCTGGGCTTATTTCCTGAGGTTTTAACCTAGCCTTTTCCATGATTTTATTTCCTTTAGATCAATTAAACATCTTCTTGCTTGCCGGTGGACATAGCTAACACATTGTTAGTGAAGCATGTTTGTGTTGTTCTTTGTTTATGTTCCTTGCATCTGTCACAACAGCAACCCTTAAAGCTAGACTACTTGTTTGTGAACTTGTAAAGACTCAATTTACATAAGCTTTTCCTTGCTATCATTCACAAACATCTCTTGTACATTTTCCCTAAAAAGATAATGCAAGGCAAGCCCTTAGTCACAAAACTCAAGTGGTGATTAAGATTTTTGGCTAGCAATTTCTTCACTATATTGCAGGTACCTGCCTGCTGATAATGATTCATATTTAGCATTTTCAGAAAATTTATTGATATCAAGCCAAAGGGACATGGATTACCTAATACATAGTATCCCGAATTAAGCATAATTTATTTATGTGAAAATTATTAAATTATATTTTCTTTAGGACCTAAACCATGTGGCCTGGTGTTGGGAGTAGTATCTTACATCCAACTTTCATCTTGAAATGAGGATTTGATTCTTTTTTTGAGAAAGATGTGGGGGTATTTCCCCAATCTTTTACTCCCTAGTTCTCACCTCATGACCTCAGATGTCGTCCTAGTTCCTACTTTATCTCTTAATTTTTGGTCATCTATTTCGATTTTCAACAGTACAGAGAATGAAATGCAAAACAAGTAACCTAGAAGAAGGTGTGACATAGCTCCCTTGATTTTCTCTGACTACAGTAATTTGAACCCTCTGCTCTGCTATTTTATTTAACCTATTGTCTGGCAGAAGCTATTATAACAGTTTTTCATTACAAGTGAGACAATAATCTCATCTATTCAATGATAGGTGAGCTCACCACATGGACTTACTAGGACTTTTAAGTGAAATAGTCTCTTAAATATCTATGTCGGATTAGAGGCTATCACTTACGAAGGATGTTATAGTCTACCAAATCACTATAGCTTTATAGCCTATCATTTAGCAAGGCATGATCAAAGAATTACTAGATTTGTTTTAATTGAGCTATACATCAAAGCATGTAACTTGATCTGGTTGAAGCTTACATCTCATAATAAGGGCAATATGAGCTGGAGCTAATGTGATTTATGCCCAAAATTTAAATTATGCATGAAAAGCATGCTGTGTTTGACATTAGATTGAATAACTGAACTCTGATAGATTTCAGGCTTTCTTGTTGGGTTTAGGATACTAATGAATTCCGGTTTCTGGTTTGAGGCTAGTTATGTGCTTCTGTCACATATTATGTATAATAGTGATAAATTAGTAATCAATGTTGATGAGATTTGACCAGAAAATCAGATTCAGCTTATTATTCTGTAATGGAGGAAAATTTACTATGCTTTTTCTCTTGCCTATTTGGATGCTTATTCAGGGATTTTACGCTCTTGGCAGTTGGTAGACACTAGACAGTAGCCAGGCGCGCTTATAGCCTTAGCTTGATGTGTACCTGAACTGTGCATGCTTTCCTACTGCTTTCTTGACATTGAGCTTATCGTATACTATATTTAGTTGTGTGCTTGTTGCTAATAGATATGCTTATAGTTGCAAGGTTTTGTCAGACAAAAGATGGAGATAAATGATTTTACTGCTGTTTTTTCCAGTGAAGAGTTGGTGTTCTATCTGGTAAGTTAACAAACATAACTATGGACCCTTAATAAACAAGTTGTCTCATAATTGAACTGATATTTTTGAGTTGGCTTCTTCCAGGTTTCTGTTGTAGTTGTATTTCCTACCATTCTTGCTCTGAGATGGTTGTTATCAGTGTTTTTTTCTCTGGTAAGTTTATGACGAGCCTGGATTTTACAATTCTTTCTCGTGATTGAGCTGAAGCAAATCTCAAGTTTGCTTATGGTAGGCATCTTCTGTGGCTGTTTTCCTGCTTACACTTGCCTTGAGCGTGCTGTCGTTGGTGCCTTTTCTGGTAAGTCAAATGTGGATCTTCTTGTCTGGTGAATACTCTCTCATAAAGTCATAATTAAGCTGGAAGCTGATCTTAAGTTGGATTTAATATAGGTTTCTGCTCTAGCTGTTTTCTACCTCTTGTTTGCTTTGAGATGATTGTTGCCACACTGACGATAACTAAGAACAATGCACATACAAAAGAGCCCTAGAAGAAATGACACAGTTTTGGCGTTGATAATACGTAATTCAGGATTATAGAATGTAGGCTATATATATCATTACTGCTATACGCGAAATTTCAGTGTAACAATGTTAATGGCAGACTAATACAGATTGTATAGTGTTTTGCAAAATATGTTCTAATGATTATCATTTTGTGGCGGTTGTCTTCAGTCTGTCTCAGCGCATGGAACACGAGTAACATAACTAGGAGGAAGCCTTTTGCAAGCTTAGATAAGAAAGCTGCGGAAAAGAAAAATATGGGTAATGTCAATCTGTTCGGCTTGCCTTTTCATTTTTCTTCTTTTTTCAGGTATCATTCTTTTTACGGCTTCTTCAACCTTCCTGAGCTATTGAAGAAATCAAATTAATGAAATCAAGCTTCAACAAATTCTACTTAGTCCTTTGGTGATCTATCCAAGTTTTTAGTTCAAAATATGAAGTACTAATAAGCTTGCAAGTTTAGTAAGCCCTAGCTCAATATCAAGCTTATTAGAAGACCCTATTCAATCAAGTAAAAATAAGTATCTGACATGTAAGAGTAAGAAATTTCAGACATAAGGACACCGTCCTAATTTAAATGTGGACACAAGTGAGAGGGAACGACATAAGTGAAACATATTCCTAATTTTAAAGGAAAAATTGATAGGAATAATCCCACCTTTCGATGATCCGCTCAAAATAATCTCAACTATCAGTATTCGCAATATAATCCTAACTTTGAAAAATTCTGCTCAATTTGGTCCATAACCTGTTGAGAGGTGTTGATAACCTGTTGAATAGGTTAATTAGACAAGAATTTTGTTTTCATTGGTTCTAATCTAATTAATCAAAGTTTTACATAATTTAGCTTTTTATTATTTTGGTAACCACCCCACACTATAGCCACCCACCACCATTGATGCACCAACTCACTACCATCTTTGCCCTATCACGGCTCCACCATCACTGACACAGACCCTATCGCCACTACCCCTATCATACTACATCTTTATAATATATGTTTGTTAGAGCACTATCATCAGAGAAAAAAAAAAAAAAAATTCCCTCTTCACTCTCTCTCCACCTTTCCCTCTCCTCCACATCAGTTTTTAAAAGAAAGAATTTTTTTCATCCCACCAACAACAAATCAAAAAATTCTCTCACCACTCTCTTTCTTACTTTTTAGTTTTTACTATACCCTACTATATTCTCTCTCTTACTTATTTTCAATTTTTATATTAATTACTATTCATAATATTTTCTACCCATATACACGATAATTAAATTGTAATTAATTAAAATTGTGACTTTAATTAATTACAAACTAATTAAATAATAATGATTATTGTAAGACACAAGTAATAAAACTAGAAATGCATTACATTAATAAAAAGTGAAATATGATTACGATACATGATGATTAAAGCGTCATTGGATTTTAAGGATTATTGTCACCAAACTTTTCCCAAATGTGCTCTATCAAGTCATCTTTCAAGGATTGATGAGTTCGTCTATTACGCATAGCGTCCCTTATCTCCAAGTATTTATTAAAGTCGGTAGGACGCCCTATTTGAAACTGAAATGTCTCATCATCAATCTATGGTACCACTTGTACTAGCTTCACCTCCTAGACGTGACATTGGGCGATTTGTTTCGTAATATCTTCTTGTTACTTCAGCATTCTTATAAGTATCTCGTTCATATTCTACTTTCATGTTATGAATTATTATACAAGCCTTCATAATGTCAGCTAGCACATCTTCATCGTAAGCAAGAGCTGGTTGTCGTACAATTGCAAACCTCGCTGGTAGGACACCAAATGCACGTTCAACATCTTTACGTGCAGCAGCTTGTAAAATGAGGGTTGCGTTCTTATTTCGTCCGCAATATTGACCTTTCCATGCATTTGGGCAATTCTTCCACTCCCAATGCATACAATCAATACTGCCAATCATCCCTGGAAAACCTCGTTGGTCATTTCTATAAAGGATCTTTCGTAGGTCTTCGTCCGTCGGCTTCGTAAATATTCAGCTTCAAATCCCTTGATTATCTCTGCAAAGAAATTATTCAGATATTTCCGTGCAGTCATTTGACCCAGACGTAGATACTTGTCAACTGCGTCAGGAGCCACCTTATACGCTAACATTCTCATCGTTGCCGTGCATTTTTGGAGTCTAGACAACCCCAACTTCCCAGATGCATTTTCGCCTTTGCTGGAAAAACTCATCATTTTCCACAATCTTACAAAATAGAGGTCGTCTTATCCGAAACCTCCGGCGACACTGACTCTCATTATATACCGGAATATCCGCAAAATAGTCGTTGAACAATTAGTTATGCCCTTGTTCATGATTACTATCCATTTGAACTAGAACATGAGCAATTGTATTATTACGTTGATTTTTAGGTGGAGGTGTTGGGTATAGGGGTGGGACTTCGGTCTGGCAGTTCGGTTTGACCTCGGTTTGAGTCGGTTTCGGTTTGGAGCGGTTCGGATTGAAACGGTTTAGTTTAGCAGGCGGGTCGGTTTGGTTCGGTTTGGGTTAGTCACGGCTCGGTTTGGTTTCGGTTTATTTCTTTGCGGTTTAAATTCGGTTTGGGTCATAAGCGGGTCGGTTTATAAACGATTCGGATTATGTCGGTTCGGTTTGATACGGGTCGGTTTAAGGGGCGGGTTTACCCGGGTCAATGTCAGTTCGGTTTACAAACGGTTTGGATCAAGCCGGTTTGGTTTGAAATGGGTCGGTTTAGGGGCGGATTTACCCGGGTCAATATCGGTTCGGTTTATAAACGGTGCGAATCATGTCGGTTCAGTTTGAAATGGGCCGGTTTAGTAGAGGGTTTACACAGTTCAATTGGTTCGGTTTATGAACGGTTTGGATCATGTCGGTTCGGTTTATAAGCGGTTTGGGTCATGAATTGAATTCATGATTGTTTTAAAGATCGCGTCATGACCATGATTTAATGAGTTGATACTTATAATACGATAAATCGATAATTAAGAATGTACAAGTATTCAATTAGATTGATCAACAAGTGTTTTAAACTTTTAAGTTTTAATGATCAGATATGTAAATAACTAAATATGTTTATCGATTATAGTACATACCAATAATTCAATGAGGCAATGATACTTATGATAGTATGATAATGATACCAACCGTACATTCGTACGATATGATATACATCATATACATAATAATATAATTACATATACATTAACAATATCTTATTGAATCAATTTCCATTTCCAAACATTGCATTTCTTATAAATTATAACTTACACGAGATTAAATGGATTCGTTATTTAGTTTGTTACTTTATTTAGATTACTAACTCAAACAACTTAATAAGTTAAATGGACGAAATCACGAAATCATGACCATGATTTAATGAGTTGATACTTATAATACGATAAATCGATAATTAAGAATGTACAAGTATTCAATTAGATTGATCAACAAGTGTTTTAAACTTTTAAGTTTTAATGATCAGATATGTAAATAACTAAATATGTTTATCGATTAGTACATACCAATAATTCAATGAGGCAATGATACTTATGATAGTATGATAATGATACCAACCGTACATTCGTACGATATGATATACATCATATACATAATAATATAATTACATATACATTAACAATATCTTATTGAATCAATTTCCATTTCCAAACATTGCATTTCTTATAAATTATAACTTACACGAGATTAAATGGATTCGTTATTTAGTTTGTTACTTTATTTAGATTACTAACTCAAATAACTTAATAAGTTAAATGGACGAAATCACGAAATCACTAATTAAAGTGGTGATGAAAGCATTATGCAATACTAATGTTAGTAATGTACGAATAGTCAAATATACAACGGTTAGATTGAATGCCCATGAAAAACAATGGTTAGATTTTCATTACTTTATTAGTTATTAGTATTATTACTTATTAAGTTATTATTAGTTTTATAGTTTATTATATATACTGATATACAATCACAGACTCACAGATGTCAGATATTGTCACATTGATGAGCATTAAGCCATTAACTCATTAAGTCATTAACTATGTCGTATTGAATCAATTTCAATTTTGAAACATTTGCGTTTCTTACAATTTATAACTTATAAGTAATAAACTAATAATAATAATAATAATAATAATAATAATAATATAATAGTAGTAGTAAACTAGTAATAATAATAATATTAACAAATAATTATACTAACAATAATAATAATAACAATAATAATAATAAATAATTAAAAAAAACGGTCAAAAAGACCTAGAAAAACACAAAGAAAATCTAGACCGTTAGATCTAGATGAATATTCTAGAATCTACAAAAAAAAAAAATGAACGGTTAGATCTAACTTAGATGTTGAGATTGAATATGGACGGTTAGATCAACTGAAGTAAAACCTAAACCTCATTCACTCATTCAGCCATTTCTCACTCTCACTCTCTCTGCCATTCTCATTCACTCATTCAGCCGTTTCTCTCTCTGTCATAGTTTCTCTCTCTAACTTCTCAGTTTCTCACTCTTTCGTTCTGAAATTCTCAAGCTCAATTTCGTTTCATTTGTGTTTTAGATCTACATTTCTGATTTCTAGCTTTACATTCTCGTTTTTTTGTTAATTTTTGTTGTTTTCGTTTTGATTTTTTTCGTTTTTGTTCCGGTTTGTTAATATAGGGTTTTTGTTTTCGTTTCATTTGTGTTTTGGATCTATATTTCTGATTTCTCGCTTTACATTCTCGTTTTTTTGTTAATTTTTGTTGTTTTCGTTTTGATTTTTTTCGTTTTTGTTTCGGTTTGTTTATTTAGGGTTTTTGTTTTCGTTTCATTTTTGTTTTGGATCTAAGTTCTGATTTCTGATTTCAAATCTTCCTCTCCTTCAAGCCGTCAAACCCTAAGGTAATTTTTTTGTTAATTTATTCGTTTTTTTCGTTTTCGTTTCGGTTTTTTTTTAATTTCAAGTTCTGATAAATTCTTGATTTTTTCTTTTGATCTCCAGTTCAGGTAAGTTCTCCATCTTCAAATCTCCTTCAAGCCGTCAAAGGTAATTACTTTTTCCTTTTCGTTTTTTTTTTAATACAGTTTTTCTGTTTTTGTATTTGAATAATTTGATTATTGTTGTTGTTCTTGCTTGAATATAGTCGAAATATGCCTAAAATGAGTAAAATCTGTTG